GGGGTGGGGTGGGGGGAAAGTTGGGGAATGGCAGGTCCTTTCAGCAAAGGTGGTTCTCTGAGAAGGGCCAGCCAGGAGTAGAAGGTGATGGTGGGTTCATTTACTTCTGTATGATTTTGAACAAGTCCCTAGTCACTCAGTCCCCAAATCCCTCATCAGAAAAGTGAAGGTAATACCATGGAATGCTTAGGCTTATCTGAGTATAAGAGTGGGCTTGGCAGCTGCAGTCCAGGTCTAGCATTCATCCAGAGTGCCCTGTCTTCATCCTCTAAGCACATCCTCTTGGTTCAGGGTGGGCATCTCCACCACCCACCCCTGGTGGCTCCCACAAGCTGTGAAATAGGCGGATGGTTATGGACGCCAGCAGACACCTCATCTGTGGTTGGCATGGCCTCACCCAGTGTTGTCTGTGTCTTTGAGTTCCTCCAGTTTGGCCACACACGGAAGAGATTTCAGATAGTGTGGGCTTCTAGTGGGTGGCTGGTGTTACAAACATTGTCATTGCTACTTGACAGACTGCATAAGAGAGCTGGCCCTCTTCTAAAGGAAAACTAAAGAAAAATGATTCCATATACTATGCAGATGCTTCCGAGTGACTTAGCACAATGACTCCGCAGCTCAGCTTTCCAAAGAGAAAGTTATCTTTATGACAAGTCAACCACCGACCCATTTACGTAGAAGACAGAGTGGTTGTTTTTTTCTGTGGATGGGAATTCAGCTTCCTTATGTACAAGGAGCAAGGTCAGAGTGAAGATGCTTTCTTCCAAAGACAAGGCAGATTTGTAGAGGATGTATTTCACTGAAAGCCAATGTGTAAATTACATAAGCCAGGGGAAGAAAGAATTATGGGGTCCACAAATGCTTCCCAGGGTACAAGGGGACATTTGATTTTTTTTCTCCCAGCATAATTCAGAAGAAAGTGACACCCTGGGGAGTCAAGATTGGGTTTTCTCGTAGGGCAAAAAGGGCATTTTTCTGGAGGAGAAAAACATGGCACGAGGGTTGAGAGAGGCAAGGCTGACATCTGCCACTGAACAATGTTGCACACGAAGCCCTTGGGACAAGCAGCTCCTGGGGTCACTGAGCGCCTTTCTACACACCAATACAGCCATGCATCGGGTGGAGGTGACATGTGGCTGTCTCTGCTGAAAAGACTTCCAGGTGGCACTTGGATAGAAGAGTGTTGGAGTGATTTATCAGGGATCTGGTGTTTTCTTATCTATCTATCTATCTATCATCTATCTATCTATATTTTTCTTAGTGTTTTGATTTTAGAAATGAGGTCTTGTTATGTTGCTGGTCTCAAAATCCTGGGTTCTTCCCACCTTAGCCTTCCAAAGTGTTGGGATTACAGGTGTGAGCCACTATTCCCAGCCTTGAAATCTGTTTTTTAATAGATTATATATGTCTGTGCTCTATCGGGTCAGGTGATAAGGAGAGGTGTCTTAAGTTTCTCCAGTTGTTATCACTGTGGAAAGAGTATATTTCTGTCCAGCTGTTCCTCCATGAAGGGAGAATAGAGACCCCAAGACACCCAAAGGTGAACTCACTGGACAGCCTCTGTTTTCCAGATGGGCAAAGAGGAGACAGTGACGTCTCTGCTTGGGGCCCACACAGAGCCTGTTGTCATTCCATGGCCCAGGTTCCTGGCAGTAGCATAGAGTAGTGACTTAGAGTTTTTCTATCTCTGTTTTGTTTTTGTTTTTTTTGAGTCAGGATTTCACTCTGTCACTCAAGCTGGTCTTGAACTCCCGGGCTCAAGTGATCCTTCCATCTTACTCTCCAAAAATACTGGGATTACAGGTATGAGCCACCATGCCTGGCCTAGGTCTTTTTCTCCACTATTGCCTGGTGAGGGGATTACTGAGGCCCGAAGAAGTCATGCCAGCTGTTGTGTTTAGGAAGAAGCCTGAAATGTCAGTGGAGAGAGTGGGGAGGCTTCCAGGCTAACAGGAGCCTCTCACTTTGAGAATCAAAGCTTTCGTCAGCAGAAAACTGAGTAGTCAGGGTGTCAGCAAAACCCAGGAACAGGGAGATTAGAGTTCTGTGCACCTGAAGACTGTGGAAGGTTGGATTTGGGCCCATCTAAGCCTTTCTGATACAGGTGGGACGTCCTCTCCCTGCAGTGTGTGGACAGGTGCCAGGTGCATGAAAGAACCAAATTCGTGCAACTGGGCCCTGAAGCCATGGATGCCTTCCGTTCCTATGACTGTGGCTTGGTTTGCCTGTTCCTGAATAGGGACCAGGAATAGACCTGCCAGACAAAATACTGGATGCTAAGTTAAACCCCAGTTCCAGATAAATAATAAGTAATTTTCAGTATAAATATGCCTCAGACAAAATTTGGAACACCCTTATGCTAAAAGTGACTTATTCTTGATCTTAAATTCAAATGTTACCAGGCAGTCTGTGTTGTTGCTGTTGCTGGATCCAGCAGTCCCAGGTGGGAAGTAGAGGATTGTTGTGAGAGCATGACCCTCAGCCTCTTCCTGCCTCTACCTCCCTGTGTTCTCAGTGACAGCGAGGGGTGGTAGGGGAGGAAAGACAGGGACAGGTCACCTGTGTCAGGCTTTTTTCTTTCGCCAGAACAGTCTGGCAGTCATGGGGACAGATGGTGGTGTGGAAGTTCACACTCGCACTGAGGAGTCCCTGAGTAGACCCAACACTATGTGCATACGTTACCGGAAGCTATCTGAGGTCGCCACGCTTTTTTGTTCTTGTAATTCCTGAATAAGCATATTTCTGATACAGGCCTTGGACTAGCTCTGGCTGTCACCTCTGAGTGGGTCACTCTTAGATGTGGTCTTCATTTTGGACTCCTCAACTGACTGCTACCCTTCTTCTCACCACTCATTGGACTTCCAGGAAGGGTGTAGCTGATGGGCTTTCTGGGATAGGCCTCTTTGTATTCACAAGAGAACTCTTTGGAAGTTTCAACAAAACCCAGGCATCAGTGCCTTCCCCTCCAAACCAAGGGTACTGGAGAATCCCCAGATCCCTTGCAAATCTGACATTTTAGGATGTGGTGGGCATGGCTGACAACAATTGTCCACTACATTTAGTCAGCCTCAGCTTTGTCCATCTTTTTGCATATAGCTGCATATTTGTCATCATCACAGTTACAAAGAAAATAGTGTCTGAGATCAATGATTTGGAAGGTTGCCTGTCCTCCTGGACTGCCACATACCCAGACAAAAGTCCTTGGAGGTTTACTCACTGTTGGCTCTGGATGCTGGCTCTCCAGAGATCCCATGTAAAGGTGGCCCCTCTCTGCGCTAGGCCCAGAGCATGTATGTGGGTAGACCTCTCCCTAGAGAGCTCTTAGGTCATGCTCATGTGGGCCTGGCCATGGGCAAGCTAATTCTGAGCCTTCACTGAGCCAGAGCTTTGAGGTGCACAGGGGTCTGTGATGGCCATGACTGTGCTTGTTAAATATGGGAACAGCTCAAGGGAATTGTGTGCTGGAATTGGTTCCCAGTGATCCACAAGGTTGGATTACCCAATTATCAGGGATTTTAAAAGTGATTGTGAAATGCAGCCATTATTAAAAAGTAAAATATAAACTCACAGCAAATAAGGCAAAGGCAGTATCTACTAAAAACACGCCACTTCCTCACTATTACCTCTGCGTTTCCTAATTGTTACACTGTATCCATGATTATCCACAAACTTGCTTGCTTCCATTATATCTGTGTGGAAACACTAGACAGTGCTCTGTGGTGGTCCGTCTTTTCCCAGACAGGCTGTAATAACTTCAAGGAAGCCGCATCACCAATTATCTAACATGTAACTGTGTGGACCAACCAGTGGTCTCCACTGACTCTCCACTGATCTTGGTGTGCGCTTTGCTCTCTCATCCTTATGGCAGGTCATCAGAAGCCAGGGTGTTTTATTTTTGAGTATCTCTTGGATATCCTGCTGTTTGTCACCTCACTTCTGCTTGAATAAACAGTCAGACACTAGGTTCAAATTCCATGACTACAGCAAAATTTGGTTCAATGTTGAAGCATCCTGGCTGGTCTAAAAGCGAAAGTTGAGTCGTCCTGTCTCCTGAGGGAAGAGATAGAAACCTTGGCCCTGCTTCCCCATGTCTGAGGCTGATGACTCTCTCTTCTTTGGGCACTGGACTGGGGAGATAATCTCACACACCTGGCATGCAGCTCCATGGTTTTCTTGACCTTGTAGTCATCAGTAGATCCAGGGTCATCTGCCAGCATTGTTTTTTTTTTTCTTGAGTCAGAGTCTTACTCTGTCACCCAGACTAAAGTGCAGTGGCATGCTCATGGCCACCACAGCTTCGACCTGCTGGGCTTAGTGATCCTTCCACTTCAGCCATTCAGGTAGCTGGAACCACAGGTATATGCCACTATACCCAGCTGATTTTTTATTTATTTTTGAGACGAGGTCTCGCCATACTGCCCAGTCTGGTCTCAAACCTGTGAGCTCAGTCAATCCACTTGCCTCTGCCTCCCAAAGTGCTGGAATTACAGACATGAGCCACCATGCTCGGCGACATTTCAGTTTTTGATCAGGTTTCCTATAGGCCTGGAAGTGTTTCCCAGGCAGCTAGAAAGGCATGCTATGGCTGGCCTCTCTCAGCCTTATTCTAGGTATGGGCAGGAAGCAGCTCCTCGGGTTCCCACCGTCTCTGTTGGCTTTGCTTTCCCACCTGCTCCTGGAAGATGAGGAAGCTGGTCTGATTTGATTAATCTGCCCGTCTGCCAGGGTGGTCATGTGTTTGAAGATTCCAAGGTGTGAGACTTCTCAAAAGCACCGAGGCTCCAGAGAACTTGATAGGTCTGTGAATTCTTTTCTTGGAGATTGGGTCTTGCTATGGTGCTCAGGCTGGCTTTGAGCTCCTGGGCAATCCTCTTGTGTAGCTGGAATTACAGGCATGCACCACTGCACCAGGTTGTCTGCGAATTCTTGATGTCTTTGTGAGCAAGTGAAGGAATCCCACATGTGCATTGGACTAATGACCCTCTGTGCTCCCTCTGCAGGTGATTCAGGCTTGCCATTCTTGTCCCAAAGCCATTGAAGTTGTGGTCAATGCCTACGAGCACATCCGCTGGACCACAAAGTGGAGGAGGGCGATCCCTGATGATGACTTGGAGGTAAACGATCAATTTGTGCGGGCTCACCGTCAAGCGCCTCCAGGTTGCGGCAGATTCTAGTTTGAGAAGGCCTTTGAAACCCACTCAAATGCAACGAGATGGGGATTATCAAAGGCAGGTGCAAGGGCAGCTCCCTGGGTGTGTGGTGTTAGGGGATTTCTTAAATGGACAGCAGGTTGGACATGTAGACAAAGGCAGCCATTTTACGTCATTGTCTTCGATGCAGATGAATTAGGTGATCACATGTGGGGTGCTCCCACAGCACTTTTACCAGAAGATCAAGGTGTTTCACGTAGATTCTTTCATTCACTGCTAAATACCCAGAGGCAGGAGATGGAGTCACTCCTTGGATACCTCAGAAAGCTTCAGGTCCCCACCTGCAAGCTTCTGGACATCACTGCCTTTGTCCTCACCACAGAGCACGCATGTTCTTGGTTTTTATTTTTATTTTTCTGAGTTGGGATCTCACTCAGTTGCCCAGGCTGGAGTGCAGTGGCACAATCACAACACACTGCAGCCTCAACCTCCTGGGCTCAGGTGATCCTTCCACCTCAGCCTCCCAAGTAGCTGGGACACAGGTTTACACCACCACATCTAGGTACTTTTTAACAATTTTTACTTTTGCTGAGATGGGATCTTCGTTGCCCAGGCTTAAGCAGTCCTCTGCCTTGGCTTCCCAAAGTGCTGGGATTGCAGGCATGAGCCACCATGCCCAGTCCATTCTTGGTTTTATAAGTCAATGACTGCCCCAACACTTGGAGGAGTGTCAGGTATAGGGGCAAGGCTCGTGGGTTTGGAGATCCAGGGTTTAGGAACTGGCTGTGTGACCTTGACAGGCGACTTCACCTGACTACCTTCATCATCCTCCATTCCCACTAAGCAGCTGATACATGGGTCTCAGCAGACACGTGACACAAGTCGTGTGTGCAGAAATATAAACCCACCATTCTGCTTTGGACTGGCTACGTAGTTCACACAACATCTCCTGGGGTCTGAGCTGTGGAGTATGGTTCTCCCTCTCCCCTTTGCTTGTCCCTGTCTCCTCTCCCCCTCACTTCAATTTCGTGTTTAATTTCATCTCACCCTCAGAGACCCTGGGGAGCTGCCATGGGTGTAGGGTGGGGCGATAGCATTGTTGTTGATTTACGGGGGTATATCCCCAGGGCCCTCTAACTCCCGTGTGTCCTGCCTTCCTTTCTAGAAATACTGGGATTTTTACCACTCCCTGTTCACCGTGTGCTGCAACTCTCCAAGGACGCTCATGCACTTGTCAAGATGTGCCGTTAGGAGAGCGCTGCACAGCAGGTGCCACCGTGCAGTCCCTCTGCTCTCCCTCCCAGCGTCCTTGAAGAAGTACTTGCTGTTGGAGCCCGAGGGAGTCATCTATTAAGCCTTACGAGACAGCCGCTCCCAGTTCTGGATATTTAAGTGGACTGGCTGCGTAGACACCGTCTGCATAAATAAAATGGTACTTGGTTGATTACAGCACTTCAGGGATTTCAAAGCACTTTACAAACATGGCATCGTTAATCCTGGGATGTCATGGGGAGGAGAAGGAAACAAGAAGGAAAGTTCAATGCTAAGCGTGTAGCCAGAAGGTAGAGGCGTGACCATGGCTACCCATGCACAGCACTCTCACTGGGCACCCAACAGATTTTCATAAAACGTTTACCACATCATTTCACCTGAAATGGGACCCAGGTTTTCTGGGAATCAGTCTCACCCTCCACCCTCTCTGGAGTAGGTTTCTGTGGTTGCTTTGTTGATGACACAGAAGGCTCTGACAGGACTCTCAACCTGGGAGTCTCCCTGTGACCACTGAGCAGGAATCACTGTTGGTGGTGTCGCAGACTCTGGCTTCCCAAATCCAGTGACTCTGCCCACCAGTGAGGACACACATGGGCAGAGTCAAAACCCGCAGATCCTGGTGTCAAGTTGGGAATGGAAAGAAAAGAGCAGCCCACTGACCCACCCCCCGTGGGTGTTTAATACACATCGCTGAGCAGGAGACGAGACATGAGACATATCCAGTGATGGACGCCTTCCCCTCCAGGGCCCCATGGTGAATCAAGGATGGGGGGCATAGTGGGGCCTGCAACCCAGGATGGGACAAGCATGCAGATGCAAACTCGTGTTAGCGCCTGCAATTCCAACATGAAGCAGGGCTTTCCTTTTAAGCAAGAAGAGAAGGAGGGTTGGACCATGTGGAGCCGCAGGGCCTCCTACCTTGTGAGACCAATGTGCTCACTTTGTTTATTCGAAGCCAAGGGACTGTGCCATCACAGTGTGGGTTCCTGTTTAGTCCTTCTCAGACTCCTTGAGAAAGAGACTGTGCATGCCATGGCTCCTGGGCTGGGCGACAGCACATGTCAGAAGATGAGAAAAAGCAAGCATATAAAGGGAGACCTGGATGACTGCGGGGGTCCCTCTGTGCAAGAGACATTCTAGAGTGTCTTCATGGGTGATGTCTAGCCACAGAACATACCCAGAAAGATGTTGGAAAGGGCAGCCATGGAGCAATGTGGAGGGGCGAGTGTGTCCACAAGCTCACTAGTCAGTGTTTTACAGGAGACATGTGGGTGGCTGACCTCGGGGGCCTCCTAGAGTGTGCTGCTCATGACTGGTTCATGCTGGTCATGTCAGAAGAGCTCGAGGCATCTTCGCATGGTTTCCTAGAGGCTATAATCAGAAGTTACGCAGGATGTGCATCTTTTTAGGAGTTAGGAGCGGGTTTCCTTGGCTTGTGTGGTTCTCATCACATGTGACTTTGGGCACTTGAAGGCTGAGCAGAGATGAAGTCACCTATGCCATCAGGCTGTCACTGAGACCGTGCTTCTGACAGGGATGCTCCCATCCCCAGAAGATGTTGCAGAGGGTGTGGTCATCTTTCTGAAGTATTGGTGTCACACAGAGTCACATGGTTATGTGGGGGTGGGGGAGTATTTTGAACTGAAACATGGTCTATATCATGAAATAGAATGTTGACTTTGTATGAATTATCATATGAAACTCGAGCCTTCAAAAAATAGTTTGCAGCAGATGGTTCTAGAACATGCCCCAGCACCCCAGGAGGGTTACCTGTTGCCCTGCATCCTCAGGCGTGTTTGGTAGAAGTGCTGGCAACACCCTGCCTTGGGTGATACCTCAACTGGGTCAAGTCACACTGACCCGAGGACGCCGGGAGACCACAGAGAGTATTTTTTTACTTGACTCGCTTGTGCCGAAATGCGTGTGTGAATCTGGCATGCAGCACATGGCCACGTGTTGTGAGTTGCTTATTTGTGGGTTTAAAGTGGTTCTCCCATGCCTCTGAACTTTTATTTGGAGACCTTACATAAAGAGCGTCTGTCCCTTTCCTCGTCGCACGTCATTTGCTTGCCTGACACACTCTCCCTCCCCTGCCAGCTGTGGCTGTTCCACAGTAATGAAAGAATTCGACACAGTTCACTGCTTTCTTCAACATTTAGAAAGAAACAGACAAGGGGAATCATGTCTGTAGATAAGTGATATTTTCAAGAGAAAGTGAAGGGCGAATGTGGCTGAAACGCATGTGAGGCAGGTCCCTGCTGCCGGAGCTTGTGGGTCCTCACAGCAACAGAACCATGCTCAATCCTGCCCCTCTGCCCCTCACTGCCCTGTCCTCCTGGGGCTTTTCATTTTCCTCCATTCTCACTGTCCACTGAACCTCAGGAAAAGCAACAGAGGAAATGACATCTCCTGATGCCTTTGTTACTTTCAGAAGACTTTCTGAAAATAGACATCTCTGGTCTTGAAGACAAAACGGCCTCCCTCCTGTAAGTGACATGAGAGGATGGATCCTTGTTACATGCAAAGGACCACCTATCTGGTTTTCTCTCCTTCTTAGGGGCTAGACACACTTGCGTTCTGTTTTTTAATCATTGAGTGTTACATCCCTGCTTTGTTCTTTCCTTCTGCGCCCAGTGGGTTCTGACAAAAACTCAGTAGTCGAGTGACGAGAGTAGGAATAAGAAAAGTAACTAACCATTTGCAGCGGGTCATCAGCCTCGGAAGACAGCTGAGCCTTAGATTTCATTACTCAACTGATTGGTTGTGAAGCACTCACAAAGTCCGACGTTGGTATACTTTCAAAGCTTTTAAAAAACACCCAACTCTTCACCCATTTTCTTTGAAACACAAACACCATGGCTAGCATCTGGAATAAGTGCTTGCTGCTGCCTTTAGGGGTAAGCAGAGGCATTGCAGTTAGATGCTCAGAGGTCAACTCTGTGCTTGTTCAGCTGGCTTTGTAGCCTGGTTTCCCTTTTATTTGACTCATTATCTAGGAAAATGACATACTTGCTCCATGCCTCATTTCCTTGTTTGTAAAATGAGAATAATGCACCTACCTCACTAGGACTTGTATAAGATTGTTTTGAGGGTTAAATTGTTAATGTATTAAAACACATAGAACAGACCATGACACTCAGTGAGCATTTTATTATTAATACTGTCCTTGCTACAGTCATAGTCATTATAATTCAGGGGTAGGTTAGCACCAGTGGGGTAACATGTCCTTAGAGTGAGGCTGTAGCCATGGGTGATACACAGTAGACCTCTGTTCACTTTGGGAACCACTGGGTGGGCTTCTGCTCTGTGCCAGGCATCTGGTGACAGCTAGAGGCTTCACGGGAACAAGGCAACCGGATCCCTGGTCTTCTTGGGCTTTTTGGAGGTGAGGGGCAGGGATGGTGCTAACACTGAGGGTTAGCAAACTTGCAAACTGAGGACTCTTTGGAACTTTGTGTTGTTATAAGTAGGTTTATCAAAATGGCAATTACTCCTTTCATTATTTCATGAGGGCTGCAGGGTCACCTGAAAGTGCATTGTGTGGTCAGAGCCCGTTGTTTAGTGGTTTCCATCTTCAGTGGGGAAAGTGGAGGAAGAGATTCTGCAGCAGGAGTGTAGACCAGGAATGAGATTCCCTCAGTGAGGGCTGCTGCATGTTAGAAGAGGTGGTTGGGAGGGTGGGAGTCTTGTCCATTCATTCTTCCACTTGTGAGATGGACTCTGTGTCATGACAGGTACTGTTCTGTGCTAGACATGGAAGGAAGATGAGAGTTTGCCATGGCACTGTAAGAGTCACTTCTAATAGCTCAGTGTTTGTTTATTTGTTCTTACTAAGAAATAAGACTAAAAAGCATACAAGTTTTAAAAATTAAGACTCTGAGTTATTTTTCTGTCAACCTAACAGAAAATTGTTGATTAGAAATGATTTTTAGGCCAGGCATAGTGGTTCATGCTTTTGTAATCCCAGCACTTTGAGAGGCAGAGGCAGAAGGATTGATTGAACCTAGAAGTTCAAGACCAGCCTGGGCAACATAGAAAGACCCTGTCGCTACAAAAAAAGAAAGAGAAAAAAAAGAAAGAAAAAGAAAGAAAGAAAGAAAGGATTTTCAAACCTGTATCTCAGTGATAAATTGCCTTATCCATAGGTTTGGTCATACATGCCATCAATAAGAAGCAATGTGTGAATATTCAAAAACATCCCCCAAAAGTAGTTGCTTTTTTTTTTTTTAAACAACATTAAGTGGTTTAGGTGTGCTTAGATGTCTTCTTTACTAACTGGTTTTCTTAGATAGAGGTGTGCCTCAGTGATAGACAACAACTATGCACATGTATGCTAACCCAGGCAAGAAAATAAAGCAGCCACTTTGTTTATTTCCCAAAGTAAAAATACCCTGGATTCGGGTCCAGTGCTCATCAAGCAGGGAGGAATTCATGTGTGGCGGTTGTAGATGTGATGCCACTGGGCTGGCATCACCAGGAGGCAAGACACTACTTGCTGGAGGCACCAGGAGACATTTGCTCCCCCCTCCAGATGTGGTGGACCACTAAACAACGGGCTCTGACCACACAATGCACTTTCAGGTGACCCTGCAGCCCTCATGAAATAATGAAAGGAGTAATTGCCATTTTGATAAACCTACTCATCACAACACAAAGTTTCAAAGAGTTCTCAATTTGCAAGTTTGCTAAACTTCAGTGTTAGCACCATCCCTGCCCCTCACCTCCAAAAAGCCCAAGAAGACCAGGGATCCGGTTGCCTTGTTCCCGTGAAGTCTCTAGCTGTCACCAGATGCCTGGCACAGAGCAGAAGCCCACCCAGTGGTTCCCAGTGGTGGACCCTGAGGTTGCATTTGATTGATGAGCAGTGAGGCCCATGGGGACCGCTATCAGTTGGATCTGGGGATCAAGGACACGTAGACCGAGGGCCCAGCCTCTGCTCTGAGTCTTAGCGGGTCGCCTCCCGAAGAATGAATCACCCAGCCTTCTGCCACCTGCCCCCCTAGAGGGACATCGAGACCTGCCCTGGCTTCCTGCCCTCCTGGCCTCTTCAAGGCCACACCTCTTCCCAGGAGCCAGCTCTAA